CTCCCTGGCAGAGGGGCGACCGGCTCCACAGGTGGCCAGGGCGCCCCTCGCCATCCCGCGGGCACCCCCGGCCCGGGCCGGCCCCCGCCGCCCTCGGCCGAGCCTGGCTCCGCACCCTCGCTGGAGCTCACCTGTCCCTGGGTCACCTTTGCAAGCGGAGGGGCTGGGAAAGCTGCCCGGCCTCTGCCTCGGGGCTTTTATGAGCCACCGAGGGGGGGGCGGCGGGAGGAGCGCCCAGGCGGAGACTCTTCGCTTTGGCCAACGGGAGGCCGCTCTTCCTTGCAAATGCAGAGATTGCCCAGATTACATCATGGAGAGCTGCCTGCGCTTCAGTGTAAAAGTCTCCTCCTCGCGTAAAGGCGGGTCGGAGGAGGGATGGCACACAGCAACAGGTCTGTCCTTTGGGGCGGCGACGCCTGGACCCCTCGGAAATGGGGCAGTGGCGGGGAAGCGAGCGCTGCCCGGGAGGGACACACGCTCGGGTATGCGAGGACAGAGCCAGCCGGGCCTCCTGCGCCTCCGTCCCACCGAGGACCTGCATGTTTTGCTCTGGGGATGCAAGTTGCTCAGCATCTCCCAGGACCAAACCCTGAGCAGCCTGTTCTCATCCTACCCGGGTTGCTCATACCCTCTGATTTCCCAGGCCAATGGACGAGTTTCACGCTTTCTCAGCCTTTATCATCCTGGTTTTGGAGTTTACACAAAACCCCAGCCCTCCATTTCTTCCCAAAGATACCGAGCCGAGTTGCAGGGCAGAGCTGAGTATCCAGCATCCATCTGGTTCTCTCATGTTGCTAGAGCAAGAAGGTCAGACAGTTATTCCCTCAAGTGTGCCAAAGTACAAATCACTTGCCAGTGAAAACAAATTTATTTCCTGGCCTTTACATCCAGGAACACGCATACGTTTCTGGCTTTGACTGGGGGGTGTCAGCTGGGATGGGTTTGTCTTGCACCTCTTAGATTGAAAATACATGGGTTGGAGACATGAGTTCTCCAAGACCACCCTAGATTGTCCTGAATGGTCAGATGGTTGAGGTAAAGCCTTGCCTTCTGGCATGTCCTGTGCACAGGATACGTTATTGCATGATACTAAAGGAAAAGTAATAATTGATTCTAACATTAATTAGCTAGAAATCAAAATGGTCCAAAGTTAAAGGTTTGGTCTAGGTAATACTTGAGATCCGCATTCAGATCTGATTTGGGGAAATCGCTGCCTGCTATAAACAGATCTCCTGCGGGTAAATACCGGGCTCTTAAGATCTGGATCTAAAAGCAGATGACATGAAGTAAGCCCATTTTCAAGTGGCATTGGATGCTATTCAAATTACAGCATGATTAGAATAAAGCCAGGCATTCTGTTTACAACTCCTTTTTTTCCTGGTCGTCAGTACCGTTGCGGATTATGGGCCAAATCCTTCAGCTGGTTTACATCAGCCAAGAATCTGACTGGCCACTGTGACATTTTTGTTGTTGCCTAAGATAAAAGATGGCTTTGAGCAGAACGTACCTGTGTTCAACATGAATCAGTGAATACCCTGGGAGGCTCAAACACTGATCTCCTGAAGGAGGAGATGGAGACTGAGCAGTACCTGATGACCTTGCAGTACATTAGTCATAGCATGAAGAATGTAGACCGGTATACGGGTAAAACAAGATGTTACAGCCTTGCTAGAACCTGGCCTTGAACGTGTGTCTGTGAGAGATGTTTCATTCCAGACCCAAATATGGAAGCCTTTTCTCTGGCTTTGTCCAGGTGAAGCAGGAATTGAGGGGAAATGTGTAAAGGAGAGGAGCTGAAACTAAACAGCATCTTATGGAAAATGCTGAGGAATGCCTAAGTCCCTCCGGAACACACATCAAAAGGACGGTGAGACTTGCATACCTAACTCTCTTAGAAGATCCTACTAGAAAGTAAACTCGGAGTAAGGGGCCGAGATGAGTGCTTACACCTATTATTACCCCAGGCGGATCTCTTCATCCTTAATTTCCCCTTTACCTCATTTGCTCACATGGACTCTCTCAGTTTGCTCTCAGTTCAGTCAATGTGGTAACTGCTGCTATCCCCTGGCCCAGACCTGTAGCTACAAAATCGTCTTTGATTTTCCTCAAGGTTCCGCTTGGAGTCTCTGCTCCTAAGTCAAATGAAGAAAGGACCCACTGAGGTTAAAGAAATAGGCCATGAGGAACAACGAAGAATAAACCCTCCAGCTGCACGTCTGTGAAGAACAGCCATTTTACAGTTGCTCACGGGGGATGAGAAGGGTACGGGCACTGCCTGTTTTCCTGAGATGTAGCCTCTTCTTTTAGAGGTTATCAGGCAGGACTGGACTCAAGTCCTCTCCATGCCATGTAACCAGTCGTTCTGGCCAGCGATTTCAGGTGAGACTTCAGAAACTTGATTTTCAAAGGGATTGGTGTTGTGAACATGAGGCAAACCTGTCAAGCCCAATCTGGCTCAATCCTGAGCTATTAATTCAAAAGATTTATCTGAAATGTAGGGTCTACTGCGAGAAGAGACCTGGAAACTCATCGTATCTGTGGCAGGTTCATTCTCTCTGGCTTTTCCACCTTGGGAGACTCCTCTGCCTTGCTCATTTGCATTCCAGATTCGTTTCAGTGGAAGAGGGGATTGGACAGATTTTTCTCGTGGAGAAAGTCTGGGATAAACTTAGAAGCCACAACAGGAAAGGTCACCATTTTATTTAATTATTTCAAGTTGTTTTCCACCCCCTACTCAGAGCAGCCCTCGCCACTCAGTAATTAGCAACCAAGCGAAGGGGGAGCAAGCTGGACTTTGGCCCCAACTGACCTGATTCGGTACGACATGTCTGATTAATGCACCTGGTCACATGGCAGCTGCCAGCGACTTGTTGCTGGGCATCCAGAGGTTTCCAAGGGAACCGCTCCTTCTCCTGCCGATGCTCCTCAACAAGTGCGGGAAAGCGGCGGTTCGGAGGCCCTGACGCCCAGCCGGGTGGAAGACGGGAGCAAAGGTGTGTGGAGAAACACTCAAAAATAGAAAGCGCCCACGCTGAATTTAGCGATGCTCCGCAGCAGAGCGGCTCGGACAAAGCCCCCTGAGCAGAGCGGAGCGGTGCGTGCTCCTATCCCCGAGCCACGGGACTGCCTCTGCTCAGCCCACCCCGCCGTCCTCTCCTGCGCACCCTCCCTTGTGCACGCAGCCGTAGCTGCTGCACACCTATCCCAGCCCACGCACGCGTCGCTCATGCACAATCCTACACACGCCCCATCAAACCGAAGACACATCACAAACAAAACAACAGCTACGTGCTAACAGAGACAAGCTCCCAGCCCCCGTGTATTCTCCTCTTTTCACAGAGGAGCTCTACCACAATTTTGAGACCCCTTTCCTGAGCTGGGTTTAAAACTCTCTTTCATATTACAGAGCCCTTTATGGACAGAGAGACAGTCCCCTCGAAAGCTTTCTGCCACCGCACGCCCAGATCCAGCCTACCTATGTGGACTGGCACAGAGCTCCCACGTAGACCAGTCTCATCTCCCTCCCCCAAATCCCTCTCCCCGCACACGCAGCCTGAGTGCTGCCTACACACAGGCGTGGCAGCTTCCCCATCCACAGCCGCTCTTCACACCTCCCCTCCAGACACACGTCCTTACACAGGCACACGCTCTGCACTACTTGCAGGCATCTCTCTCTGCGCACGCACTTCTGCAGACTTACACTCACACCCTTGTTTGTAGGCGTTCCTGCTTGTTTGCACACAGACGGAGACACCCTTACGCATGTGCACGCACACTCACGCTTCTACTCCACGCTCCCCACAAGCTGCACGCTCACCCTGAGCACGCAGCCGCTGAGATGCACAGCTCGGGATCGCTTGCTGTGCGTGCACCCGTAAATGTATGTTTTCAGCGTCCACCAGCACACCCCGACACCTCTGCCAGGGGCTTCCACTAGCGTGTACCCCCTCATCCCTTCTGCCCTGCCTCAGAGCTGCAGGGGTTGTTTCGGCGTTGTCTCACAAGCCTGGCGTGAGCTATACACACGTACACAGGCCAGCAGTTCTTGGCAGTAAATATAAAGTCCCTGAACTAGCGAATGCAGTTGACTTGGCAAGTAGCACTGTCTGTAATACCAGTCTTCCAAATACACCAGGCAGTCTTAACAGCAGCCTGTCTTTCCTCTTTTCCCTTTCACGGAGATGGAGGACGATGGGGAGGGTGTGTATATCTGCACTCTGTGCTCTGACAGTAACTTCCCAAGCTCGTTAACGCTGCTCCAGTTTTTGTTAGTCGTGGGGTAAGCATTAGCCGCAGTGAGGCTCCAGAGGTTGTTAGCGCTGTGCCAGGAGACCTTCCATTCAAATCTCATGTACACCTGATCCTTGGCAGCAGGAAAGTCAGCTTCACTCAACTGATTTTTGTCGAACAACACCGATTTATCCCCGCTGACACAACGGTTTGCATTGTTGAAGGACGTAAACACTCAGGGAAACTGGTCTCAAACGTGCTGGGTTCCTTACACCCCTACCTTCCAAAATCTTTCACCTTTTTCCCAGGAAGGGAAATGCATCCTTGTTCACTCTCTGGATCAAACTGCTTTCAGGTGATGCTTATCCACTATTTTTTATCTAATTTTCCAGACTAGAGCATGAACATGCAAGAATACAAGATGTGAACAGCGTCATGTAGCAAACTGGATTTACATGACGGGAAGGGAAAGATTCAAAGGGTCTGGTTCCTCTGGCTCTTAACTCAGTTTTACACCACATGTGATACAGGAGGTATATCAGACTGAGAAGAAATATTATTTGGACTAAGCTCAAAGGCTTAAGCAAGAGGAGGCATGTTCAAAACTGCATATAAGACAGTGTAAGTTAACAATGCAGCCAGGAAGGTGTAAGTCCATGGAGGGCAGAAAAGGCTACGAATGAATAACTGCTTGTTAGAGTCAAGGTCTCTGTACCAGCATATGTAAGGAACCAGACATATTTGTGTCAGGGTGAGCTGTCTCTCACCGTGTTCAAATTATGCGTGTGAGCAGGCACGCCTGCGAAAGTACAAGGATATGTTTATGTGTAATGAACACACTTTTAATGAGGTGTCTGCCAAAGGCACAATCAAGTACCAGCAGAATATGTTCATACCTCAGGGGAGAGTGTGGAAGTCTCCCTGCCTTTATCTCTGTGTTGTATTAAACCCCATGTGCATGTACTTGAACTTGTGACATT